TATAACTATCAATCTCTCATCTATTGCCGTTTTGGTTCTTTTGGCAACACTCGAGTTGGGTCTTTAACCAAATCTCTCTCTATATCTGTTTCCAATTGCAACATTTTATGTTACTGACTATCCAAAAACTTTGTTAAGTGAACTCAGAGCAGAGTGTTGAACTTGTTGTTGTTGTTGTTGTTATTGTTGTCTGTTTACATTTGCATTTTTAGTGCAAATGCGAAATCGATTGCATGTTATGCCAAGTGAATCGTACGACTCGAGTTACACGCAGATACACAGTCATACACACACACACACACACACACACACACGCACACACACACGTATTTCTATCTATTTAGAGCAGTCAACCCATAGCCAAAGCAAAAGCATATAAAAATGGCTTTGATGCGTTTTATTGGCCGTCTGCATTGTTGTGCTTCAGTGTTGACAATCTCGTTTCTCGTTTCTCGTTTCTGGCCAAGTCCCTCGTGGCGTATGCGCAACATTTACCTGGCACCCAGACTAGCCATCCATCTATCCATCCATCCATCCATAATGGCCACGGCTTCAATGTCAGCATCGTTGTCAATGTCAGTTTGTGCGCCGTTGCTCTGTTGTAAACATTTAATTCAATGTTCGATTGCTGCTGCTGTTCCTGCTACTCCTGCTGCTCCTGCTGCTGCTGCTTGTTGTTTTTGCAATGTTCACTTACGTTTCATTTCCGTCCGGTTCTGTCGAGCATATCCGTTTGATATGGCATCTGATATCCTGCGTATGCTTCAGCGAGCTGCGAACTGTCGCTGAGATTGACAGCATGTCCCATATATGTATGTATGTATATGTATGTGTGTGTTTGTATGTGTATCAGAGAAAGGGGCCGTGCGACATCTTTCGTGTCCTTCAAAGTGAAAGTTTTCCCTTTCGACTTTGAGCACAACTTTAACCCACGCCCACCGCCTACCGCCCACCCCTTGCCTCTCCGCTCGCCTCTACTTGGCAACTTTTCTTTTTCATTTGATTTGTTTTGCTCTCGACATTGAAGTCACAATCTGTACATTATTATATAGCCAGTGCTGTCCCATTGTCTCTGCCTGTGATGCATTCGCAGCGAATGCGTTTGACATTTCAATTTGCCGAAATGCAATTTAATTGAATTTTAAAATGCAGCGAACGTCTTCTTGCCTT